GTTTTTTTTTATAAAAATAAATCATTTTAATTTAAAAGTTCTTTTGTTTGTTTAGAAGTGGGAGTGTAATGGGAAGTTTTAAAACTTCCTATTTAGTTGGATAATTATTACTATTTTTTTCAAAAAGATTAAAAGGACATATTTAATTGGATGGTTTTTTTTATTTTGAAAAAAAATACATTATTATTATTATTATTATTATTATTATTATTATTATTATTATTATTATTATTATTATTATTATTATTATTAGTTTAAGTTAAACATAAATTTATTATTATTGTCATTATTATTAGTTTGGCTTGTTTTATATATAAGTAAAGATAGAACTTATAGATTATAGGTTATATTAAGATAATTACTGATAAAATAAAAGATTATCAACACAGTTTTTCATTGATTATAGGACTCCGTAGTAAAGGATGGAGAGTTATGAAATTGTTTTTATCTAAAACTATTTTTTTCCATTCATGTGTGTAGGAAATTTTAAAGTAATAGAAATTAAGATTAGATTAAAATATATAATTATGCATAAGAGTATAATCCGAAATTGATTTTGTTTTCACACATATTTTTTTTAATTCAATTTTTAATAGTTAATAAATTAATTTTATATAACACATAAGTAATAACAATAGGTTTTATGTTTCAAGCATGCATTTATAGTATAATTTTTTTATGCAAAATTAAACTTCAATAAATTAAAGTATAAAATATTGAGAACTTCTTAAATTATATATCAATTAAAATGAAAATAAATTGTTAAATTGTGTTTATAATAACATTATACTTGGATTATTATTATTATTATTATTATTATTATTATTATTATTATTATTATTATTATTATTATTATTATTATTACTGATAAAATAAAAGATTATCAACAGTTAATGGGAAGTTTTAAAACATCCTATTTAGTTGGATAATTATTACTATATTTTTTTTCAAAATAAAGATTAAAAGGACATATTTAGTTGGCTGTTTTTTTTAAAATAAAATAATACATTATTATTATTAGTATTATTATATTGTTTTATTACTATTATTAGTTTAATTTAAACACAAATCTATTATTATTATTATTATTATTATTATTATTATTATTATCATTATTATTAGTTTGATTATTTTATATATAGGTAAAGATAGAACTTATAGATTATAGGTTATATTAAGATAACTACTGATAAAATAAAAGATTATCAACACAGTTTTTCATTGATTATAGGACTCCATAGTAAAGGATGGAGAGTTATAAAATTGTTTTATCTAAAACTATTTTTTCCATTAATGTGTGTGTAGGAACTTTTAAACTAATAATAATTAAGATTAGAATAAAATATATAATTATGCATAAGAAAATAATCTGAAATTGATTTTGTTTTCACGCATATTTGTTTTTTAATTAGCTTTTTAATAGTTAATAAATTAATTGTATATAACACATAAGTAATAACAATAGGTTTTATGTTTCAAGCATGCATTTATAATATAATTTTTTTATGCAATTAAAATTAAACTTCAATGAATTAAAGTATAAAATATTGAGAACTTCTTAAATTATATATCAATTAAAATGAAAATAAATTGTTAATTGGTATTTTTTATATCTATTAAACTTGTGTGTTTTATGTCAATTCACAGTTTCTATTGCATTACTTTTTTTTTGTTAAATTTCAAATGTCAGTTTTTATGTTTTTTTTACGAAATACAGTTTTATAATATATATTTTTTTTAAATACTGCAAGTATAGGTACTTTCATTACAAAATACAGTTTTATAATATTATTATTTTTAAATACTGCAAGTATAGGTACTTTCATCCCAAACCCATCCTGTTTTAGGATATAGTCTTCTAGCATTGATAAGAAAAGCCTAAACTAAAAACAAATACATCACTTTCAAGTAATTAAAAATAAAATAATCTAACACAGTCAAATTTTAATAAATTTAATGAAAAGAAACAAAGAAAGTACATCTCCTTTTAAATGGAGTAATAAATTATATACAATTGCAAATCAATAATTAGATGAGCATCAAACTGATTCAGATTAACTTCAACTGATTAAAGGTTTACAACAACTTCGAAGTAGATAATCAAAGATAACAAACGAAGACCTTCACATAATACTCTATGATTTGCACATAAGAATTTGATAAATAAATTTTAAGAATAAACAAAACAGAGGGTATATGTATTAATTCTAATTTTTACCTTTTGAATGTTTGACAAATACTGTTTAGGTATAATTAGAGTTACTTCAATAACTCAATATTTGCATATAACCTTGTGTTCTTCTCCCAATCAAAATCCTCACTCGACCTTTTCGTCTTGTAAAATCATCTCCAAAGAGTAATGTATTTTTGCTTTGAATTTATCAGGAACTATCCACAATCAAATAACACGTACTTTCAAGTTCCAATGCATTGATTTGGATGTAATTTTTGAGATTGTGTTAAATTGCAAAGCCACTTATTGTTGAATATAGGAGAATAATGTAAAGTTATTACTGAAAATATCTATATATAGTACGTGACTTTCAAGATACAGTGAAAAATGTAGTTAAAAATTTCTTGTTTAGTGGATGGTTATTGAGAAGTTATCTTAAGGAGTTATAAAACTGTCTTATTTGTGTTTATCTGTAAAAATATATTTATTTTTATATAAATTTTAAATACAAAATATTGATATATTTAGACTCCTTACGTAAAATATATACTCATTTATAATAAATGAGTATATTAAAAATGATAAAATTGTGAATCCAATATCTAAAAAAATATATTTATTTTTTGATATAAATTTGAAATACAAAATACTGATATATTTAGACTCCTTACGTAAAATATATACTCATTTATAATAAATGGGTATATTATAAATGATAAAATTGTGAATCCAATTTTCCTTGATTAAATGATTTGTAAAAAATGATTATTTAAAATTATATGTAGTTACGTATAAGTAAATGGGTCTAAATCTAAAATATCTAAAAGCTAAAATATAATAAAAATTGTGGTATTGTAACTACTGTACAATTACATAGGATCTAATTGTAATTATTGATATGTTTCAATATTTATTTAAATAATTATTTATTATTGATTATTTAAAAGTATTTAATATTTAAAATTCAAAAAATTGTGGTAATGACATGTGTCATTTTTTCTTCTCCTTTTATATATAGATAGATTTGATGCACTTGAGCCGATGGTCTTTCGAATACAATCTCTCTACCTCCACGAACTAGTAATAAGATCTGTGTACACTTTATCCTCCCCGGTCCCCACTGGTGGAATTTCACGTTATTGTTATTGTATATAATTTAATTTTGTCTACAATTTTATAGGGAACAAAATTTTTACTGTCAAAATCAAGTTTGTTTTTGTAAATAAAAGTATCCACAAATTATAAATTGAAAATATTTCTATGTCCTCCTCAGCGTTGTTCCCACAAACTTGTATTTTTCTTGATTCATTTTAATGTCTACTTTAGTTGTATTTACATGCATGTATATCTGTTTTATAGAGAAAAAAATAGTCAAAACAATAAAATTTTAATCAAATTTCAATCAAACATATATATTAATATTTTAGTTTAAAAGCAAAAATGAATAAGAGATATAATGAGGCACGGTTAGGAAACTATTGAACATAAAGAGCAAAAATAACATAATAGGGCAGGGCGGGGTAGGGTACGACAAGGTAATTGTTTTGAAAATGCTAAATGGGCGGGGTGGGGGAGGTCAATATTTTAGTAGGTCATGACTTTCCCCACCCTAACCCACCCTATTTACATCCCTAGTTGGTTAATAACTTAAAAACACTTATATAGGTGTATTAAAATAATATAAAACGACCTCACATCAAACTAACTAAAAAGGAAATTACCTAAAAGCCCCTACCCTTAACCGACTTTGGGACAGTTTGCAGGCATGACCCACGACCCACAGACCATGGGTGGGACCCCGACCCATCCTGGTTGGGTGTGGTTCATGGTTTGTGGCTTGCTGAAATGGATCTTGAGCTACGGAGCTCACCCACGAGGCGTGGATGGACCTAAGCCCCGTAGGTCCCCATCTATGGGTCACTGTTTGGGCAAGTTTGAGGGTAGACTTTAGGGTCCTCCTCAAGGACCCTTGGTTGGTCCTTGGAGAGTCATACCTTGACGTTTAACCCTTAAACCATTCATTCTAAGTACGAGAAGCAAATTTTATGACTCTAACACTTACAACCAGCTCTAGTAAAGTCTACTAGTTTCCGGGGTGTTACATTATCTCCACTTTGGGAATATTCATCCTTGAATGACGATCTATACACCTTACGGAATTAATGACTCAAGACTAGCAGCCTATCATGTATGAAACATCAAAAATAATGCACAATTCAAAGGAGGAAACATCAACTCCATCTCAACATACTTAATGCAACACAAGGGAGTAGGAACTACATCTAACAACCCATTATGCAAGAAAACTCAACATTTCAACATTCATAGGAGGAAATACCTTCTCCAACTCAAAGCATGCTCAACTTGATAACATGAAGTAAATCATACAATTGCTCTCAAAAGCATATTAAAGCATGTTTGACAATTCATCTCATGAAACATATAGGCAATTCATACTAAATGCACAACAACATGAGGAACACATAAATCGTGAAAACTCATTTTCTGACTAAACATGAATTCTATCAAGAACATGCATAACATAAGGAGATCATGGAAATTTCTAAAACACACATGACTCCAAATCATAAGACAGGCCAAGAGGAATTTCTTTGTCTCAAGCTAGAATAGGAATATAAGAAAAGAGATGAGGATATCGGGACTCTCAACAATCTTGCTATCTAAGCATACTATCTCCCCCTTGGGAGAAAGCCCCCAACTAAAACCTCAAGTACCACATCTTTCAAACAATCCCAGCCAAGGCTAACATCAAAGTCTAAAAAGTAACATATGGATCTAATAAAGCATTTACATCTATAGGGAACTATCACATACCGGTGCCTTCATCCGGAGAGGCTTGTTGGTCATTTCTAGACCGGCATGCATAGAAGCGACCATAATTTGGAGCATTGGGTTCCGGACCACTATGAGGAGCTTTCTTGGCCTGTCTCCCTTTTGCCGGAAGTGTAGGGCAATTCTTCACTTGATGATCACTCTTGCCAGAACCATAGCAACCATCTGTACTGGCTAGACACCTACCATGGTGCTTATTTCCACATTTGGTGCAAGTAGGCTTAGGTAATGGAGACCCACTACCTTTCTCTTGGTTAAACCTAGGGTATTGGAAGAATCTTGACCGGAATACTTTTGTTTAAACTTAGGTCTACCTTGTCCATCGGACTTATCATTAGACAAATTCCTATCACTGGTTCTAGCTCTTTTCACCTCCCTATTATTTTTCCTTAGTTTTGACTCCTCAATTTGTTAGGCATGCACTATGAGACGTGAGATAATCATATCACGAATGAGCATTGCCGAACAACATTCTTCCTCTACCAAGTCGGACACTCCCATCACAAAATTATTCATTTTAGCCTTTGAGTCCGCCACTATAGTTGGAGCATACTTGGATAGTTAGGTGAACTTAAGAGCATATTCTTTCACACTCATACCTCCTTGACGAAGGTTAATGAATTCTTGCATCTTTCGTTCCCTCAACTCAAGGGGAAAGAACCTATCAAGGAATGCCGATTTGAACATGTCCCACTTTATGGGACCCGCTCCTATTGGCCTCTCACCCTTCCATTGTTCATACCAAACTTGAGTCATATCTTTCAACTGATAGGCGGCCAACATCTCATTCTCTTGTGGAGACACTCCTATAATATCAAGCGCTTTATAAACCTTATCAGTAAACCTTTTGGGATCTTCATCCACTTTAGAGCCATGAAATTCGGGAAGATTTATTCTATCAAAATCCCTAAATCTGGAAGCGGCATTCACATGAGTCCCAACATCTCTATTGTCTTGGGCCGTCATGGCTTGGGCTTGAGTTGTCACGGCTTGAGCTTGAGCCGTCATGGCTTAGGTCAACATTAGAAAAGCCGACCTAACCTCCACATCTGACATAGCCAAAGGATTAATCGGAGCTTGATTAGCTTGAAGAGCTTGATTCACTTGAGGAGCTTCTTCATTGACATTGTCACCCTCCATTCTTCTTGCGTTAGCCCTTCATGTATTCATATCCTGAAGACACAAAAGATGGATTTCGGAGAGGAACTTTATACAGTTAAACTATATGGCACGACTTAAGAGTAATAAAAGAACTGTAGTTTCCTAAACATCTTATAGTCTCTCATTCATAAATGTGGTGCGCTTCACACTATGAACAAGACTCTACTAGATATGGCTTATGAGACATCATCCTAGAATCACACTAAACCTTATGCTCTGATTACCAAGTTTGTCACAACCCACGAGTACCCCCTAGATGTGACAAGGCGTACTCAACCCCGAAAGGTCTCATACAATCCCCTTATCATATCATAACATAAGATAAAAGAAATGATGTGGAATTTAAAAACTTTATCCATACAATCGAAGTCTTTTATAAAAGAAAGCGGAAGTCAACTTGTCTCAATTAGTCATCTACTAAATATTTGAATCAGATAGGGACACAACCCTTACAATATAGTCCGAAAATAAAATAACTGGAAAGAAACTACAAATAACTCATACGTCCTCGAATCTTGAGGACTCACCACAAGCTAGGAGAATAGTCGATCCAAGCTTGAACCAAAAGAAGATTCGCCTCAAAGTCCGGACCCTCCACTTGTGGGAAAATGTAGGAAAATATGGGTTAGTACAAAAATGCACTAATTATGATAGCCATGCATAAAAACCTTGAAAACATGCTAAAAAGGACATTTTAGTTGAAAAGCATGCACTTTACCAAGTTAAGAATATTCATGCACGTTAATATAAAAGCATAAGTCATAAGCATTTTCAACATATAGGTCATCATAGCATAATAGAATCACCTCATAAGTAACCCTAAGTTATACTTGTGCAATGCATAGATAAGATCCCATAATCCCATCTATACTAAGTACCACTTTTAGGTCACCATAATCATACTTACCATTCTTTGATCTCATCCTTTGTTCATACTCATAGTCAAGGAACATTCACATTTAATAAGTCATATCAGGGAAATCAACATATAGCAACAATCCAAGTTAAGCATTCATCATTACATTTAGCCTTAATATCAACATACCTAGTAGCATCATCATAAGCATATTCATTTCATAAATTATTATAATATTAAGGTAACACACCATAACTACTCGCAAAGCCTACTTGTGCAATGCATGGATGAAGTCTCATACCCCTACCCACACTAAGTAGTGCATTCTTGAGAAGCCATATTTTATAATCATTCATTATGGGGTAAGCCTTAACCGGCATAGACCATGTGAGCAAATCATGGAATCTAGTGTCTCCCACACCGAAAAGAGATGGTCTACTTGCCTAAGGTAGAACCGGTAACATTTAGATTAGGTGGATCCACTAGCTAATAACCTATGTGGGCACATAGTTATAGGATAAGGAGATTGTTACTAGAAACCCCAACCTTACTTAACGGGGAAGCCTCCATCTCATGAGATTACTTTTAGAAACCTGGCCTTACTTAACGGGAGCGCCTCTATCTCATATTCAATATCCACTCGGTACTAAGCATTATTTCCCCATGGAGTAGTTAATTCTCTATTAACATCATTACTCATGAAAAGGTGCCCTTAGCCTACCGATTCAAGGTACATCATTAGATTGGCCTACCGATTCAAGACAAGCCTTAAAATACTTCATTAGTCACTCATGAAAGGGATGCCATTAGTCTACTGATTTAAGGTGCATCATTAGAATAGCTCATTAATTACACATGAAAGGGTCCCCTTAACCTATCAATTCATTTAGGTGATAAGAGCCTTTCATAATATGGCATATTCATTCACAAGTGTATAATTGAGAATAACATTTCAATCAACACATCATCATTATCATAACCATATAAACTTCATCCATAAGTGTGCGTGAGAGAGAGAGAATAGCCTTTCAACAACACCACAATTACATCATAGTCATAATCATATTTCTCTCAAAGTATTCATAAAGAATGTACATACATATCATGATCATACATAACTCTCATAATTTTCCCTTCAAGGACCATAGATCACATTCAATCAACACACCTAGAATTACTGCATTAGGCATGGATATTAACATAATTCATGTAATCAATTCATTACATTCATAATTCTATAACATTCTACTTGCATCAATCAATACCCACACTTTAAATACCAAATTGAGAAAGTAGGGGAATTCATAGATTCTTGAGGAATTCAACTTAAAATCATCAATATATTCATAAACAAACATAATACAACCTTTAAAAATTAATTTGAAAGGAATCCATGAGATTGAAGTCAAACCCTAACTTTTGGGTTTTCTAACTTTGAAATTGGGGATTTTAAGGGGGATCCATGGGTGAAGGCTACCCATGGATGAAGATCTACCATACCTTATTGAAGATTTCCTATGAATTTGAGGAGGAATAGCTTGATTCTTCAACCCTAGCTTCACCTTTCTTCTTCTTCTTCCTTGGAGTTTTAGAGAGAGTTTATTTGGGGAAAGTTGGTTATGGATTTGGGTTTTGGGATTTTATGAAGTGAATGGGTTGGTTAATGACTTAAAAATACTTATATAGGTGTATTAAAATAATATAAAATGACCCCACATCAAACTAACTAAAAAGGAAATTAACTAAAAGCCCCTACCCTAAACTGACTCTGGGACAGCTTGCAGGCATGACCCACGACCCACGGACCATGGGTGGGACCACAGCCCATCCTGGTTGGGCATAATTCATGGTCTGTGGCTTTTTGAAATGGTACTTGAGCTACGGAGCTCACCCATGTGGCGTGGATGCACCTACGCCCCGTAGGTCCCCATCCGTGGGTCACTGTTTGGGCAGCTTTGAGGGTAGACTTTAGGGTCCTCCTCAAGGACCCTTGGTTGGTCCTTAGGGAGTCGTAACTTTACGTTTAACCCTTAAACATTTCATTCTAAGTATGAGAAACAAATTTTACGACTCTAACAGTTACGACAAGCTCTAGTTAAGCCTAATAGTTTCCGGGGTGTTGTATAAATATTATGATCTTAAAGAAATCTTGACCTTATCTCCTCTTTTCTCCTCTTTCTCTTCTCTCAAAGCCCAAGCATAATTTTGGAATGCGCAAACTGAACTAACTCAGTTTATACCCCAAATAAGTTTCTAAAAATGAAATAAATTAATTGGGTAATGAAAAGACCAAAATACCCCTCTAAAATTCGGTTGAATTTCCTTATCCATACAGCCCAACATCAAACTGGCATACCACCCTCATACAAGAAATTAGCAACCTTGGCGGTATTGGAAAGATAATTCAAAGACCTTTTATTTGATATCTTATAGCCCACCTAACTCATCTTGTACTAGGAGTTATGGTCGTTTGAAGTTGACCCAAAACTCATACTTAACATACTTGCCAAATTTTAGATTTTTTATTCTTTCAAAAAATGGTTCTTTCTAATTCTAGCTCTTTCAAATAGCGGGGTGTTACATTCGTTCTTGAATTTTGATGTTCGGTGGAGTTCTTGATGCGAGGATCTTATGAATGACCATTATTCTTGAGGGTTTTTGATTAAATTTTCATGTAAATAAGTTGAGTAAACGAATCTATGAGGGTTTGGAAGAAACCACTTGATTCTAGGAGAATTAGGGACAGAAAACAAGAAATAAAAATTCATCGGATTTTTTAGGCAGGGGCTAGCGAGACGCGCCTGCAGTGCGCCAGAACTGCGCCTCTGAAGTTTAGGGGTCGGCGCCCTGCGCCACTCAGTGCGATGCAATCGCCAGCCCCCTCCCTTTTCAGTCGTTTGACCTGTCTGAGTTATTTTAAGTTGTACCTTTACTCCCTTTTAATTCTAACTACTCTAAATTATGTATAAAAATCAAGAGATCCTTCATAACATGAATCATAACCCTTGAATTCATAATTCAAATTCAAGGTAGAGTTAAGAGTATAGTCTTCAGAGTTCTTTCAAATCATTTTGAGAAGTCTTTTAAAAACTTGTTTTAAGACTTGAGTACTTGAGTTTGAGGATAAGAAGAGTTGAATTTCATTTTTTTTTCAAAATGAATATATGGGAACTAAGTATTCCCAAGAGTAAATGTTTTTACATTTAAAATGAGAGGAAACACCGATTTCCAAATGAGTTCATGAGGAGTTTTTGAGTATAACCTCTTTTAAGAGAACCTTTTGAGTAATAATCTCAAAGCTTGAGGATGACGAAATGTTTTTAAACATATGAGCTGAGTTATATTTTTGGGAGTAGTATTGAGCACAGATATGGGGACGAGTTCATACAACTTAAAGTCCTCATAAACCATATAGCCAACCTGGGTAGAAAGGGTTATACTTTTTAGATGATTCCTTGTTGATTTTTAATCATAGCTTAGTGGATCCACTTAGTTGAGGATGTCTTATACTTCGGCAAGGTATAGAAAAGTTTTGGCAGCGTGGGCGAGACGTTGTATCATCACATAGCTCAAGGTGATGGTTGTCGATTAGATAATCTCCCAAATAAGAGTTACTATTGTATTTTTAAATACATTGAGTCGTTACCTACTATTTTAAATGCTTTATATAAATTACATAGTTATTATTGTTTTTATACTATATTGAGTTGAGTATCCATGAGTTGAGGTTGAGTTGAGTTAGAGATGAGTTGAGTATGTTTTATTCTTTCTATGTTCAAGATTTTATGTTATGTTTAGGTTCCCCTAGCATGCTCGTACATTTAATGTACTGATACCATTTGGTCAACATCTTTTCATAATGAAGGTACAGGAGATTAGGGTCATCAACAAGCATTTTGTTGATACCACTTGCAACCCAGAGTGGTTTGGTGAGCCTCTTAGCTTCCGGAGGATCCCTTATTTATTTATATTATTTCAGTTTTGTTAGGAT